ACTCTGCAGTCTTGTCCTCCCACACATGCCCCAGGGTGCAGGGGCCCAAATGTAGCGGGATCACCCACGAGACTGGGTAGTGGGCTCCTTTTGATCACTGGGAGTAGTTGTAGGGAAGCCGTCTCTGGCGTGGCTGTGCTGAAGCCTTGGATGTTCCAGCACCTTCTCTCCCTGTTGGGACATGCAGGGGTCAGCCAGCAGCTGACAGCTGTGCAAGGAAGGTGGGGTGAAGGTCTCGGAGCCCAGTTTGTGCACTGCCCGCTCGGGGATCTAGCTATCTAGCAGTCTCTCGTCTTGGGGTGCTCTTCCCTAGGAGACAGGGGTGGTCCATGCAGTAAGCCCCTGCAGACCTTCCGGGTGGGTGAAAGGGTGCTGACGCCCAGGCCCACCCACCCTGCTAGCAGCTGCTCCAGCACCTCTGTGGCTCTGCCTTCCATCATCCTTAGGGGTGTTGTACTTGATGACACTGTGAGCACTGATGGTCAGTCTTTGCCAGGCCAGCCTCAGCCCAGTCCCTCCAGCCTGCTGTTTCCTTGTCCTGTTCATCAGCTGCTCTTCTCCTTTAGCTCAGCCCTGTCTTTGAAGCGAGAAGAAATTACCTTTGCTTTGACATTTAGCATGTTACCTGTCCCCTGGGAGGAAGAAGCAGGCCGTCTCTAGCTGATGCATGTTTGAGAACCAAGCATTCAGGTGTCTTTCCGGTGTCCCTGAGACCGTCCCACCACAGGATGGGCATAGAAGGGCCTGTGGACCCCTAGCCTCTGTCTTCTCATCTCCAGCATGTGTGAGGCCTGGAGGGCCCCTACACTGAGGCTGGGTCATCTCCTGCGGTCTAGGTGCCAGGAGGAACATGCTTACTCATGGAGGGTACAGGCATTGTGAGAGACAAGGGTCTAGACTTCAAAAATCACCCTTCTTTCAATAAAGTTTTACCTAAAGTTAGTTGGGAAAATAAATCCTTCATTGAAGAGTAGAGCCCTAAAATGTTTCTCCAGACGTAAAAATTTTCCATTGTTAAAATGCAAAGGCAGTCTTGCAATTGGCCAAATAATAACACACTGATTCACAGTTCAGCAAAATGGTAAGTAAGTGCTTTGTACGAGTACTACTTCACCAATCCACTAACGTACATCTGCAGAGAATTGCATTCTAAGCCACGGTAAGATTCAGGATCAAATAGATGGGTGAAGGTCCCGGTTTGGAAGTCAGCCCAAATCCGTGTGTGTGTACCTTTGGTTGAATCAGGAAACCTGAATTACATAAGGAGAAGAGATCAGTCCTTAACCATCAACAAAGTGATGACATCCGCCTTTGTCTGCTCTCTTCCCTCCTACTTCTGCTCATCCCGATGGTGTGCCAGATTTGGTGAATGGGTGAGTCACACCTTATAGAGAGCAGGCCCAGGCTGAATGGGCCAGAGGTGCCCACACAGACATTCTCCCTGACCCTGCGGCTACTCCCTTCTCTTCCTGGGCAACCAAAGGCCAAGGAACTGTTTTAAGGATTTGCCCCTAATATTTCTCTTGGCCCACCACCAATCTACCCTCTAGCACACAACTTCAGATGCTTTCACATACTGGGATTCAACACACGTTTTCCCTCACATACACACTTTTCTTCACACAGACACTTTTCCTCACACACACACTTTCTCTGGCACACACACACTCTCTTCGCACATACACTTTCCCTCACACACACTTTCCCTCACACACATGCTTTCCCTGACACATGCTTTCCCTGACACACACTTTCCCTCACATATACTTTCTCACACATGCACACTTTCCCTCACACACTTTCTCTCTTGAACACACTTTCTCTCTCACACTTTCCATCACATGCACACTTTCCCTCATATGCACTTTCCCTTAGACACAGTTTCTCACACGCACTTTCCCTCACACACTTGCCCTCAAACACACTTTCGCATGCGCTTTCCCTCACATGCAAACTTTCCCTCACATGCAAACTTGCCCTCACATGCATACTTTCTCTCACACACACACTTTCCCTCACATGCGTACTTTCCCTGGGACACACACCCAGCTCTGCACACACCTTTTCCTTCACACACACAAGCTGTAACACATACACATTCATCCCAGGAAACATCAGGAAAGAAAATGTTACACACAGTAAACATTCAAGAGGATTGAACTTTACCCTTTAAGATACCAAGATAATTCTCCTTTAAGCATTTCTTATGGAAATCTTTCTAAGATATACCATATTCTTACCTGTTTTCTTAAGCCAAATTGAATATATTCAGGTAACTTGATTTTGTTGTAATGTGGTAGTTCTGCCTCTCTGCTTTCAGGGTTGTATATATCTGCCTCCCCCTCTTATAATTTGTGTCTCTTGCAAAAACTAAATTCTGAGAGTTGTGTGCAAGTGGGAATGGTTGACGTGTACCATGCATATGGCACAGTGCTGAGCCTGGGATGGCCGCTCAGGCTGTGCCCTCCCCTGGCCCTGCAGTCTGCGTATTCATCAGACCCTCTCTTCCCAAGAGCAAGAACGGGCACCATCTGCAAAATGACTGGGGAGCTTGTGAGGCAGTGGCCCTGGGTGCAGCATCATGCTCTGCTGTTCCTGGTCATGAAGTACCCGGAGAAGCGGGTGACAGCCAGGAAGGGGCTGTGCAGACAGTTACTTAGGGCACATTCCCATAGAAGAGGCTAGAGAATATGTTCCTTCTGGCTCGCCCAAGGATTCCGCAACTTACTTGACCTGGGAAGTGGCATCTGGGCACGCAGACAGCTTCCCTGGGGCAGCTCTTGCCTGGACCGGGATCTGGGTGGAGGGGTGCCCTTCAGGCCAAGTGATGGAGCCTCACTCAGTCACCATTGGAATCAAAGGGCAGAGAAGGGCCAGGGAAGCTATGAAATCCCAGCGAGCTCAGCAAGTATTGCCTGTCTCGTCTCTTCCTCACATTGGGCAGTTTTCAGAAGATGAACGGGTGAGGTGGAGGCCAGGAGACCCACTGGGAGGCTGCTGACCACAGCTGGACATGAGAATCAGGACCCACCTGTGGGTCTGGAGGAGGAGTCTGTCTGGATTTGGGTATCTGCACAGCAGGAGGACATCTCTCCCGGGGAGGATCCACAGTTTGCATTTCACTTCCTCTGAAATAGGTCATTAAAGACATGTCCTTCCACTTTTGCCTGTTTCTTGTATCACAAGTAAGTGTTTGCTTCAGATCTCTTTGAGGAGCATCCTATTTGGAGCATGATTCTTCCCCTGGCTTAAGAACACCATTCTTCTCATAGGCTGGATGTCCACTGGTGGCTCAGGTGTGATTTGTGTTTAGACATCAGACCACCTTGGCATTTTCGAAACAAAATCAGTATTTAGATAACTTCTAATGAGTGAGTGGCCCTGTCTGGTGTGGAGACCCAGGCATATGGAGGGCGGGGAGCAGACAGACATGGGGAAGCCCTTGTGGGCATGGGAGCTCCAGAGGGCATCTGACCAATGCCTCGCCACACTGACACAGCAGTGGGAGCTTCCACAGATGAACTCACTGCAGCACGCACCTCCCAGTTGCTGCTGTGCAGCCTGGCCCCTCCGTCAGGACAGATGGCCTGCGTCCTTATCTGCTTCAGGCCCAGGGGATTCACTGTCTTATTTTCAGTTTCTTTAGGAAATTATCTGTATCATGAGCTGTTCAGAGGAGTCTCAGATGTAACTGTTGTCCCTTTAAAAATCGATTTCACAATTTTAACCTCTTTGACTTTTAACTGTTATTGTAGCCTTGCATTTTTTTCCCAAACAAATGAACCCTGTGGTATTTCCTCAGGAAATGTTACATCTAAAAATAGCATTAAATATCTTTTAAACTAAAAGCATTCTGTCTCTACATAAACTTTTGTTGCATGAAAACATAAAGAGCAAATCAGGTACCAAGGATAATGTTTTCAGAATGAACAAATGGGTACAATTCTGTGGTTTTGATAAAGGAGGCCCTAATGGTTTTTGTTTAAATTTTTCAAAAATTATCAATACAATTAAAATGTATTTGCTGTGGGTGAAGTTTTCTGAGCATTAAGGTACATGTGGACCAGCTCTGTCCTTGACACAGGGGCCTCTCCCATTCCCTGCAGACCCAGGATTGCCAGGGAGGGGGGAACCAGAGAAGGGGAAGGCCCCGTAAGAAATTCCACATGCGGGGCGCCTGGGTGGCTCAGTTGGTTGAGCGACTGCCTTCGGCTCAGGTCATGATCCTGGAGTCCCGGGATCGAGTCCCTCATCGGGCTCCCTGCTCAGCGGAGAGCCTGCTTCTCCCTCTGACCCTCCCCCCTCTCATGTACTCTCTCTCATTCTCACTTTCTCAAATGAATAAATAAATCTTTAAAAAAAAAAAAAAAGAAATTCCACATGCTCCATAATCCTAAAATACAGCATTTCAGGTGTACATTTCAGAATTTGATGGGGTGGAACTTGATTGGGCCTCACGTGACAGCAGCAGCCACCTCACTTACGAAGTGTTACTTAGGGTTCCCTTTACAGGCATGGGGGTCAGATCTACTTAATGCAGTCATGGAAACTTCCTCAGTATGCCTCTGCTGTGTGACAATGTGAAGGACCAGGAGATTGCTGCAAGAGGAATCCCCCACCATGCTGAGGATTTGCCAGTACCTTCCTATTCCACAAAGACAACTCAAATACCCAGATATAAGACAGAGCCCAAAAAGTGGACTCTTACATAGCCAGCCTGTGAAAAGTGTCCTCTGCACCTGTCTTTTTTTTTTTTTAAAGATTATACTTACTTATTTGACAGAGAGAGAGATAGCGAGAGCAGGAACACAAGCAGGGGGAGTGGGAGAGGGAGAAGCAGGTTTCCCGCCGAGCAGAGAGCCCTACGTGGGGCTCGATCCCAGGACCCTGGGACCATGACCTGAGCCGAAGGCAGACGCTTAACCAACTGGGCCACCCAGGCGCCCCTGCACCTGTCTTAACTGATGTTTTAAATTACCTGATCCTCTCTTGCATTTCAGGATCTGGAATCCCTTGACACCTATATCCAGAATGCACTGTCTGCCCTCTACCCACCTTTTGAGGCCACGGCAGCCACGGTGCTCTGGCAGCTGTTCAGTGTGGTGGAGAGACTCCATGGTGGGGATGGGCTGCGCTACCTCACTGACTTCCTCATCCCAGCCAAGAGGGCCCTGCAGCACCTGCAGCAGGAAGCCTGTGTGAGTACCTGCCCTGAGGAGCCAACCCTGTGTGGGACCCTCCTCGGAGCGGACAGAGCCTGTGTGATGATTTTCCCTGCAGAAGGAAACCTGTGAGACCCTCCCCTGCAGGTGACACCTTCCTGCCCTTGACTATAGGGAAGAGACAGGCAAAGTGTTACTTGGTACCTGGAAAATATTTAAGCTGAGCACATGGAATTCTAGATCCAGGGAAATACACCAGCGATGGAGGCAAAGGAGAACCTGAAATTAAACCAGTAATTAAAGCAGAAATAATTCAAGTGAGGATTTGTTGTTTTCTTTCTGAAAGGAAGCTGTGAGATTAGCCCCAGCCATTATTCTTTGGAGTTTAATCACATAAATGGAGAGCTCTTCCTAGTCCACTCCAGTTTGGGGGTCCATAAGGGTACTGCCTCAGCTCTTTTCCTCTGCCTTCTGGCTCCTTTTTTCCCTAATCCCAAATGATGAGTGAAATAAGGCTCTGTGTTCCCGAAACAGGCTTCTCAGGCCTCCCAGGGGTACAGCCCACTCTGTCCACAGGTATCCATTCTGGTTCCCCCAGTGAACTTTTACCAGAGTCTTTAAACCCAGCCTAATAAATTTCTTAGGTGCTTAGTTTGTTTCTGGGGATTTCTTTTTCCTGAGTGGTATTCCATTGTATGGAATATACCACAATTTGTTTACTTATTCATGGATTGATAGACATTTGGGTTGCTTCTAGTTTTAGAATATTAGGTATAAAACTGCTAAAACATTTGCATACAAGAATCTGTGTGGGTTTGTTTTCTTGGGTAAATAGCTAGAATAGCTAGAAGTGTGATTGCTGGGCCACTTCCAAACTCTTTTCCAAGTGGCTGCACCATCGTGCACTCCCATCAGCAGCTTTGGAGAGCTCCAGTTGCTTAGCATCCTCACCAAAACCTGCTATTGTCAACCTCTTTAATTCTGGCCATTCTATTACCTGTGCAGTCGTGTCACAGGTAAAGTTGTGGTGTTAGTTTGCAGCTCCGTAATAACTACAGATGTGAGGTATCTTTGCCTGGACTTATTTGCCTTTTATATACCCTCCTTGTGATGTGTCAATTCTAATCTTTTATCCATTCTTTTTTTTAGAAAGATTTTATTTATTTATTTGACAGAGAGAGACACAGCGAGAGAGGGAACACAAGCAGGGGGAGAGGGAGAGGGGGGAGAGGCATGCTTCCTGCTGAGCAGGGAGCCCAATGTGGGACTCCATCCCAGGACCCTGGGATCGTGACCTGAGCCGAAGGCAGACGCTTAACGACTGAGCCACCCAGGCACCCCTCTTTTGTCCATTCTTAAAAAATGCATTTGTTCTTTGGGTGTTGAGTTTGATAAGTTCTTTAGAGATTTTGGATACTAGCCCTTTATCTGATATGTCATTTGCAAATATCTTCTCCCATTCTGTTGGTTGTCTTTTGGTTTTGTTGATTGACATTTTCTTTTTTTTTTTTTTCATTCATTTCATTCATTTTTTCGATTTATTTTTTTAAATATCCAATCAGATAATTCCAAATATATAAGGCTACAAAAGCAGATTTTTGTCTGTAAGGGCCAGGACTGGGGTAAAGCAAGCAAGGCACATGGCATAAAATTTAAGGAGGGCACTCACTGACAGATTTCTGCAATGTCTTCTTGTTGAGTTCTAAGAGTTCTTTATATATTTTGGATACAAGGTCTTTATCCTATATATGGTTTGCAAACATTTTCTCCCAATCTGTGGGTTACCTTTTCATTTCCTTAATATTGTTTTAGGAAGAAGAGTCAAGGTGTTTAATTTTGATGAAGTTCTCTATTTTTCTTATTTTGTTTTCTGTGTCCTGAGGACTTTACTTTTAGGCCTAAGATCCATTTTGAGTTAATTTTTGTATATGGTGTGAGGTAAGCATCAAATTTGTTTGTCTTTCCACATGTCTGTCCACCTGCTCTAGCACCATTTGTTGAAAAGGCCGTCTTTCCTCCATTGACCCACCCAGGCAACTTTGTAGAAAATTGTCAGTACAAGTGTGAATCTGTTCCTAGACTCTGTTCTGTTCCACTGATCTATAAGTCTCTCTTTCCTCAAGTACCGTGGTTTTATTACTGAACCTTTATAGTGAGTGTCCTGAAATCAGCTGGTGTAAGGCCTGCAACTGTTATTCTAATTCCTTTGCATATCTATATAAAACTGAGAATCAGTTTATTTATACAAAGCATCCTAGGAGTTTTGATTAAGATTGCTCTAAAGCCATAGATCAATCTGGAGGAACGAGGTCTTGGGCTATCTTTTTTGTAGGTTGTTTTCGAGGCAACCTTGAAACTAATGACAGCCAGGTTGTAGGTATAGTGCAGCGAGCGGCTGCAACGATTCATGCCTTGATCTTGCAAAGTAAGATCTCGAGCTGTGCGCCAGGGTGTGCCGTGCCAGTAGCTGCCTGCGCACCCCCTACGAGCAGGTGGTCAGGTACCAGCGGCACCCTTCCGACAAGCGTCGCTTCATAGTGCTCGTGAGGCCTTCTGCGTTGGAGCAAGTGAACTGAGAAGACAATTTATGGAACTTAATCCTAACCATTTCCAAAGTGCTGTGCTACATACTACTTTTTCCAAAAAGAGTTACGGAATGCAACGGACATGAGTATCACTATGTGTCAAAGGAAATACTTGAAATCCTCATGAATATCACAGGATGCTCGAGTATGGTGGATGCTGTTCAAACAGTCCCTAATGAAGGAAAGATCTGTGTCATGGACTTTAGAGCCTCAGGGTATTCAAGTAGCTCAAACCCACACACGGAAGCCCTATGTCATATTTACAAAGCCATCTAACATGAGTTGTAGGAAGCAGTCTTAGAAAAATGCCAAGATCATTACAGGCTACTTTCTGGACCTGAAGTTCAAGGACGAAGATCTACAAGAGCTCAAAAAAATGGAGACACAGTTTGGCTAGTTTTTTGATCACGTGATTGTGAATGACACTTGCAAGACGCATGTGTCCAATTGTCTACAGTTGAGAAGGCCCAGGAGGAGCCTCAGTGGGTACCGGCAACACGGGTTTCCTCAGATACTGAGTCTTAAGGAGGCCTTCTGCTGAGTGCTAGAGCTGTAACAGCGTTCGTCTATTACAGAGCTCTGGAGTAACAGCTTCAATGTAAAACAGCAGTATTTGTCCCATTATAATATGTGCAACTTTAAAAGGAGTGCAGTTTATTAATTAATCTTATTTGAAAAATTATTTGCTTTTATGTATGTAGAGTTACCTCCTTGGCTTTCAAAAAAAATCATTTCCTTTACCTCATATGCAGCAATGGTAAGAGTACAAACAATGTTAAGCCGCTGAGTATGAGAACTTCTCATAGATTTTGTATGGTCTTTGTACAATTCAGATAAAAGAGCTTCCCTAAATAAAATAAGTAGTATTTAACTTCAAAAAAAAGGTAAGATCTTTATTAATCAGTACCTTTTATTACTCCATTGATATTGAAGTAGGGCTTTAAAAAAAACTACCACTGGATGACTTTGATTTATTAAATTCTTTGAATGTCTTTTATTTTTTTTAAGATTTTATTTATTTATCTGACAGAGAGAGAGAGCAAGAGAGCACAAGCAGGGGGAGCTGCAGAGGGAGAGGGAGAAGCAGGCTTCCCACTGAGCAGGGAGCCTGATGCGGGGCTCGATCCCAGGACCCTGAGATCATGACCTGAGCCGGAGGCAGTTGCTTAACCGACTGAGCCACCCAGGCACCCTCTTTGAATGTCTTTAGCTAGAATGACCATGGTAGAGAAATGACCAAGGATGTCCTAGATTTGATTCTTTGTGTGAAGTAGTCTACACAGAGGATGTTTTCCTTTGTGATTATGTACCTTTTGCACAGTTAAAGGATGTTGATTGATAGGAAACAGAGATAAACTACAGCACAGGGAACAAAAATGCCTGTCCCCTTTCAAAGGTGTGTTTTAAAAAGCTATTTTGACCTAATCTTTTGCCTTCTTTCTTCTGTTAAGTTTCTTTTTCCTTTCATTTTAATCATAAGTCATCCCCCTTCCCACTTAAAAAATTGCTTATTTTCTAAAAATGCCGTATGAATAATTCTACTCTTTAATATCAATGCATATTCACAAGTACATAATTTAATAAGCACAAAATGAAATTTAGGGATATCCCTACTATTTGCACATTTATATTGCTTTTTAATTTTTAATAAAGAAAATAAAATTTGATCATCTGTATGACATAGGAGAAAATGAACTTATCTCAACAACTATGAATATAAACATATCTTAGTTAATATAAATCAAGGCAGTTTTTATTTATTTACCTGCTATTGTCAAAGTATGTGGCTTGAAGAGCATTACTAATCATATCAATTTTAAGATAAGTTGTCATGTTAACCTAAGATTCCAACAACCACCATTCTTCCATCTCTTTGTAGATACAAGAAATGCTTAGAACCACTCATCAGCTTATCTGTGACTTCCTTTCATCACAGTTTGGCTCAAAAAATGTCTGGGGAAGTTAAAAGTAATCAGAAAGATATAGAAATAGAAGGTTTGCATGATGGGGAGGAAGCAGGGGCAGGGATTACAAGAAAGAAAATAAAATCAGATGGAAGCCAGAAAAGGAGGGAACAAAGCAAAGGCATGGGAACATATACAGTAACAGGATGAAAGCAAAGTTATGAAATGGTAGCCCAGCAAAATTCTAACCAAAGATAACTGGTGTAGCTTTATTCATAACAAACTAAACATAGTAAAAGGCAAAATGCATCATCAAGGCTGAAGTGGATCATTGAGTAATAATGCTGGTAACAACCAGGAGTACAAAACAGTCTGTAAACACCAAACAACATAGCCTGAAAGGCTTGGGGCACACACTGAGGGAATTACAAGGGGTAAACATAGTCATAATGGGAGATCTCACCTCTCTCCAAAGCAAACAGATAAGCAGACCACATATTGCTTAGAGTATATGTCTGAAGACCTGATTTCTCTCTTCCACCCATGG